CGTCTCTCCCCCGGAGACCCTAATCCAAGCCCCAGGAGTCGGCCCCTGCCTTCTTTTGCTAGAAATCCTGGCCCTGCCGCAGGCGGTGGGTGGGATGGGCTATTTTCGAAGGGAGGCAGGTTGGCCCTAGAGAATGCTGAGTCTGGGAGTGCCCGCGCCCGGAATAGCTCGCGGAAATTGGAGCCCCGGCCGTTAAAAGAGCAGAGGGCAGGGCGAGGGCCGTGGCTCTCAGGGGCGCCTGGAAGGCTCTGGGAATTGGGTGCAGGCCCAGCCTGGACGGGAAAGTGGGCAGAGGTCATCTTGTGCCGGCACTCTGGAGAGGAAGTCTGGCGAATGAAGGCTCTCTTGGGTCTGGTCCGCAGAGGTGGTTTGTGCGCCCCCCACTGCCTATATCGACTTCGCGCGGCAGAAGCTGGACCCCAAGATTGCCGTGGCTGCACAGAACTGCTACAAAGTGACGAATGGGGCCTTTACCGGGGAGATCAGGTGAGATGGAGGAGAGGGGGCACGTGGGGAGGGGGGCGCGTGCCCCCTGCTGAAGCTTGACTTGCTCTCTTCCTCCAGCCCGGGCATGATCAAAGACTGTGGAGCCACGTGGGTCGTCCTGGGGCACTCGGAAAGAAGGCATGTCTTTGGGGAGTCAGACGAGGTGAGTGGCCAGGAGAGGGCCAGGCGATGCCTCCTTCCAAGAGGGATGTCTCACCAAGGCTGTTCCCCCACAGCTGATCGGGCAGAAGGTGGCCCATGCTCTGGCAGAGGGACTCGGAGTGATCGCCTGCATTGGGGAGAAGCTAGACGAGAGGGAAGCTGGCATCACCGAGAAGGTGGTTTTCGAGCAAACCAAGGTCATCGCAGGTATCTCTGGAGAAGGGGACCTTGGAGCCTAGCCAGGGCCACAGAGGCGCCGAGGGTGGGGTCGGATGCCCTGCAGCCCGGCTGGACCCCCGTGCTGGTCCAGGGAAGGGGAGGGTGGGAAGCCTGGCGTGCCTGTCGCTTCTGCTCCTGCCCCGGGAGGCCGACGCCACCTGGAAATCCCCCGACACCCGCCAGGGGGCAGCAGGCCGTCAGTCTTCGGGGCAGGAGGGTGCTGGACGCTCCCTTCTGCTCGCCCTTCCCTCCACCGGTGGTCTCTGCCCTGCAGATAACGTGAAGGACTGGAGCAAGGTTGTCCTGGCCTACGAGCCAGTGTGGGCCATTGGCACGGGCAAGACGGCAACACCCCAACAGGTAACCGAGCCCAGGAGCCCGCCCTCGTGCTGGCCTGCCTCAGGAGGGCTGTGCAGCGACTGACTGGGCTGGCCCCTGTTTTAAAGAGCAGCAGCCCTCCAGCCCCGGTGCAGTGACTGGTCCAAGCACATCCATTCCAGGGCGCCTCCGATCCTGGGCTCTTGTCCAGAAACCACGCTAGCTCCGTCCACTAGTACCAGAGATTCTTCCTCTTTGAGCGAGAGGCAGAAAGGGCCTCACTTGTCCGGTTTCTTGTTCTAGGCCCAGGAAGTGCACGAGAAGCTCCGGGGATGGCTTAAGTCCAACATCTCGGATGCCGTGGCTCAGAGCACCCGGATCATTTATGGAGGTGAGTGGGTTTGGCTCCAGCCCGAGGTGAGCAGCCTGAGCACGAGCCTCGAGCCCTCAGATGTGGCAGTGGCAGGGCATGTCCTCAGCCGCCCCGTCCGCTCCCTTCCAGGTTCCGTGACCGGGGCGACTTGCAAGGAGCTGGCGAGCCAGCCAGATGTGGATGGCTTCCTCGTGGGTGGCGCCTCCCTCAAGCCCGAGTTCGTGGACATCATCAAAGCCAAACAATAAGCCCACCCGCCTCCCCTGCCCTTCCTGCCGAGCCAGGGAGTGGGGAGCCCAGAAGCCCCCCCGCACACGCTTCTGATGGTGTCATCTGCCCCCTCTTGGCCTCATCCAAACTGCCTTTCCTTTACCATTTACACCTTCCCCTGTAACGGTTGGGACCAGGCCAAACCCTTCTCCACTCGCGATGACAAACGTGTTACCAAGGTGGCTTCTCCTTGGCTGGGTCATGGAAGGGGTGGAATGTGTTGACGGGTCCTCCCGGGCCCCATGAAGGCAGGAGAGAGAAACCACCCTCCTCCCCCCACACCAGGCAGCCAAAATCCTCCCCCGAGGCCAGGGGTGCCACCCTCTCCCCCAGTGCCATGCTCGTTGTGTTGTGTGAGCCATCCCACGTGTGAGGGAAATAAACACCTGGCACGAAGCCTGTGGTCCATCCTCCTTTGCTGTCCTTGTCCGTACTCTTTCCAGTTCCTTCCAAGACAGCCCCATAGAACTTACCCGGCTGCAAAAACCAAACCAAGCAAATGGCATGAACAGGTTTCTATAGCAACACGTCTCTGTTTTTACTCGAAGAAATGCCTTGGTCCCAGGCTGCCACCGCCGGAATACGGGCTCTCCCGCCGAGGGTGTCCCTGGGGCTGCGGAGCTGCCCGGAGCTCGGCTGGGGTAGGGGCCCAGCCCACCCGCTCGAAGTCGCCGGTCGCGGCCAG